ATCCCTACCCCCACACCCCCACCCCCACACCTCCACACCCACACCGCCATCATCATTATTTCCTTCGTTACATATAGATCTCCACCCCCCTCCTCCTCCTCCCGCTCCCTCACCTGCCCCTCCCCTCCCCTCCCCTCCCCCCCATCTCCGTGTCTTCGCGTCAGAAATCATGATATATAACACGAAAATAATGGTGCTATAAATATTGTTTGTTAGAATCGTAAACATCTTGGTTCGACGGCCCGGTCGAATCAATAGGGGGTCTTTGTTTACGCCCAGGCTCTTCGATGCTTTTATAGACTATTGGAATCGCTCTGTAAAGGGATCCGTGTGGTCGAGATGAGGGAGGAGGAGGAGGAGTAGGAGGTGGTTCGCGCGTTTATATTATTTTTTTGTTTTTGGTGGGAAACGAGCGGAAGAATTTCGTTTGATTGGTATTTTGTTGTTTATAATCAGAAAAAAGAGACATTGTTGTTGTTTTTATATTTTCTTAATTATCGTCGCTATTATTGTTATTATCATCGTCAGTATTGTTGATGTTATCATTTGCTGTTGTTCTTATCGTCATTATTCTTATAATTATGGATGTTATTATCGTTATTATTATCATCATAATTATTGTCATCATTATCTATATTATCATTACCATCACTTCTTCCTGTTGTCATTATCATTATCATTACTCCTCCAATCATTATAATTATCATTACTCCTCCCATCATTATCATTATCATTACTCCTCCAATCATTATCATTGTCATTACTCCTCCCATCATTATCATTATCTCATTATCACCATAATTATCACAATTCTTCATTGTCTTTTTCAAGGGGCACCATCTTCCGCGAGCTGTTCCGAATGTACCCGACACACGCATGCAAGGAATATAACGCGAACTGGCCCGATCTGGTCAAGTATTGCGGATATAGGTGGGTATTGGATATATTTTCTCATATACACAAAAGTACAAATATATTTAGATATACATGTGTAAGGAGAAGTACATACGTGAACAAATAAAAACTTTTTTTTTCTGTCTTTTTCTTTTTCTGTCTTTCTCTTTCTCTCCCTCTGTCTCTATCTCTGTCTCTGTCTCTCTCTCTCCTCTCTCTCTCTCTCTCTCTCTCTCTCTCTCTATCTATCTATCTATCTATCTCTCTTTCTCTCTCTCTCTCTCTCTTTCTTCCTCCCCCCCTCTCTGTCTCACACTCCCTCACACACACGCACACACATACAAAGAAAGAAAAAAACATACTAAGATATGTAAGGAAATATATATTTTTCTATGTATGCTGTAAGCTTCATTATATTTCAGAATATACAGTATACATGATTCTACTTATACATATAATCATATCACAACTAACTATCACCATTTGTCCTATTAATACCGTATATCTATATGAAACCCTTCTAATATTGCAAAACATAATGATCGTATTGCAAATTGCAGGGAGGACAATATTCCACAATTGGCAGACATCGACAAGTACTTAAAGCGTAAGTATTGATCTATCTCTTCTTCTCTTTTCCTTTATCTCCCTCATTTGTTTGACGAATGGGGTGTATAGGAAGATGAGGTGAATTACTGATAAAAGTGTTGTTGTTGAATATCTATATAATTATTTTTAGAGTTATACACACTAGAAAGAGAGAGAGAAGGAGAGAGAGAGAGAGAGAGAAAGAGAGAGAGAGAGAGAGAGAGAGAGAGAATGATAAAAAGCCAAAAGAAAAAGACATTTAGAGACACAAAACAAACAAACAAACAAACACAAAAGCGAACGAAAAACACACACACACGAAAAACAGAACCAGAAAACCGCTAAACAACCTAACAACCAACGAGGCAACCACCTACTCAAAGAGAAAGAGACAGAGGCAATCCACACACAATTGCACAACCCGCTAAAATTCCTTCATTCTCCCCTCTCTCTCTCTCTCTCTCTCTCTCCCCTCCCCCCCCCCTCCATCCCTTTCTCCCCTTCCCCCCTTCTTCCCTTTTCTCCCCCACTCCCCCCTGCAGGCACGACAGGGTTCACGCTCCGCCCCGTGGCAGGGTACCTCTCCCCGCGTGATTTCCTGGCAGGACTGGCTTTCCGCGTCTTCCACTGCACGCAATACATTCGCCATTCGTCGGACCCCTTCTATACGCCGGAACCGTGAGTGCACATTTGAGTAAATTGAGTAAATGGTGTGAATTGTGTAAGTAGGTGGTTGTAAAATGTGTGTAAGTTGTGTAAATTGTATGATTAGGTATCTGTAAATATGTGTGTAAATTGTGTAATTTATATGAAAATGTGTCATTTAATATGTATAGCGTAAATAGAATAGAGATAGATAGTTAGGTAGTTTGATATATAGAGAGGCAGATAGATGGATGTATATAGATAGACAGATTGACAGATAAGCAGATAGATAGAAAGATCGAATGATTGAATGACAGATAAGGAGATAGAAAAATAGATAGACTAATAGATAGATCTACATATACAGAATGAGGTTGTCACAAAAGAAACAAAGAAAGATTTATTACATTATAATCCACTTTTTCATTCATCATTATTGTTTCTATTTGTTTTATTGTGACCGTTTCATTTTACGTACATGCATAAATACGTACAAAAGAGTGCTAAAGATATTATTATAATGACCAGAGTGATTGTAGTAATAAGCTTTGTACTTATCTCTCTATAATTTACAGCATTGAGGATTATGATGATAAGTGATGTTGATAATGATGATGATGATAGCAAAAGTGGTAATAGTTATGATGGTGGTAGTAATGGTGATTATAATCACTTTTGTAATAGTATTTGTAGTGGCAGTAATAAAGGTGGTACTGATAATGACAATGATGATAATAGCAATGATTATAGTGGTTATAGTGATAGTAGTAATAATGATGATGATAATGATAATAATAAAATAGTAATAAAACTAATGATGATGATAATGATAATAATAAAATAGTAATAAAACTAATGATGATGATGATGATGATAATAGTAACAAATACAGTAACCATAACAATTTTACCAACACCAGTAAAAATACCAAATATAACAACTATCTTTCCCTCCCCTCCCCCTCTCCCTCTCTCTCGTCCCTCCCCCATTCCTGCACTCCCCTCCTCCTCATCACCCTCCCCCTCCTCCTCCTTCTCCTCCTCCTCCTCCTCCTTCTCGCCCCTCCCTCCTCCTCGCCCTCCTCCTCGCCCTCCTCCTCGCCCCTCCCTCCTCCTCCTCCTTCCCCCCACCCTCCTCCTCCTCCTCCCACCCCCTCCTCCCCCTCCCCTCCTCCTCCTCCTCCCTCCCCCTCCCCCTCCTTCTCCTCCTCCCCCTCCCCTTCCCCCCCTCCCCCTCCTCCTCTCTACCTAAAGGGACTGCTGCCATGAGCTCCTCGGCCACATGCCCCTCCTGGCCTGCCCGAGTTTCGCCCAGTTCTCGCAAGAAATAGGCCTAGCTTCCCTCGGGGCCAATGACGAAGACTTGCAGAAGATTGCTACGGTATGTAGGCCTATGCTCGAGTTTTTTTTTTTTTTTGAGGGTAGTGGGGAGGGAGGTGTTTTTTTGGGGGGGGGCTTTTTTTTGAGGGATGTGTTTTTTTTATGATAATTTTGTTGTTTACTGAATTATTTAATTATTTATTCATTTAAGAGAGTTATGCATCTTTTCTTTTAGTCTGAGAACTACACTATCGTTTGTTTGTTTCAATATCTGTTTTTGTATGTTTATCTGCTAGTTTGTTTATTTGTTTGCCTGTTTTAATACTTATAATGGTGATTATTAGATGTTTGTTATGATGTACTGTTTTTGTTTCGTTTTTCTGTAACTTGTTTTATTTGTAAAGAATATAAACGTTCCAATTTTTCATAAAAAAGAGTTAGTCTTTCGGAATTTATTTTATAAAGCAAATTAAATTAATCACTTGACAATTTTCCGCTTGTAAACTAATTCCAAAATGATAATAATAATAATAATAAAATCAAGGCCTTGGAAAATAACTAGATTTTTTTCCCTTCTCTTTCTCTTCTCTTTTAGTTGTATTTCTTCACCGTCGAATTCGGAATGTGTAAGGAGGTAAGAAGAATGGTATCATTGTGTCTGTCTGTCTCTTTCTCTATCTGTCTATCTCTCTGTCTCTGTCTCTTTCTCTCTCTGTCTCTGTCTCTTTCTCTCTCTGTCTCTGTCTCTTTCTCTCTCTGTCTCTGTCTCTTTCTCTCTCTGTCTCTGTCTCTTTCTCTCTCTGTCTCTGTCTCTTTCTCTCTCTGTCTCTGTCTCTTTCTCTCTCTGTCTCTGTCTCTTTCTCTCTCTGTCTCTGTCTCTTTCTCTCTCTGTCTCTGTCTCTTTCTCTCTCTGTCTCTGTCTCTTTCTCTCTCTGTCTCTGTCTCTTTCTCTCTCTCTCTCTGTCTCTTTCTCTCTCTCTCTCTCTCTCTCTCTCTTTCTCTCTCTATTTATTCATCTGTTTATATGTCTGTCTATCTCACTCTTTATTTGTCTATCTATCTCACTCTTTATCTATCTATCTATCTCTTTGTCTATCTATCTATCTGTCTATCTCTCTCTCACATCTCTCTTTCCTTGCTTGTCTCTTTATTTGTCAGCTTATTTATCTATGCAAGGACCGAATTATATATATATATATATATATATATATATATATATATATATATATATATATATATATATATATATATATATATTATATGTATGTATGTATGTATGTATGTGTGTGTGTATGTAGTACATAGTTATATATATATATATATATATATATATATATATATATATATATATATATATATATATACACACATACATATATATGCCTCGTATATATGTGTATAGTTATATAGTTGTATGTATATAAATATATATGTGTGTATATATATATATAATTTCAAGTGCATATACATATCTGAAAAACTAACAATTTCTCCTCCTCCTCCTCCTTGCCCCCTCTCGCCCCCCACCCCCCACCCCCACCCCGGAAGCAGAGCGGGCAGCTGCGGGTGTACGGCGCCGGCCTCCTCTCCAGCATCGGGGAGCTGCGCCACTCGCTCTCCCCGGCGGCCAAAGTGGAGCCTTTCCTCCCCGACGAAGTGTGCCAAGTGGAGTGCCTCGTGACCACTTTCCAGAACCAGTACTACTTCACCGACACTTTCGAAGACGCGAAGGAGAAGCTGAGGTGAGAGGAGGGAGTTTTTTTTTTGTTTTTTTTCTTCTTTTTTCTTTTTTTCTTTTTATTTGAGGAGGAGGAGGAGGATGAGGAGGAGGTTGGGGGGGGATAAGGGTGGGGGTGGGGGTTGTGGGTAGGAGGGGAGATAAGGGGCAAGGGGAGATGATAGGGGGGGTAAGGGTGGAGTGGGAGAGGGGGGAGGGAGGGAGGAGAGGAAGGACGGGGTGGGAGGAAAGGTAGGGGGAGGGAGAGGGGATGAGAGGGGGGCAGGGAAGGGGTGATAAGGTAGGGGTGGGGAGAGAGGAGGAGAGAGGAAGGAGGAGGAGGGGAAGGAAGGAAGGAGGAGGAGAGGATAAAAGGAAGGAGGAGGAGAGGAAGAAAGGAGGAGGAGAAGAAGAAAGGAGGAGGAGAGGATAAAAGGAAGGAGGAGAGGAGGAAGGCAGGAGGAGACGAGGAAGGGAGAGGGGACGTAAGATAGGATAGGAGAGATGGAGGAGAAGGGGAGGGGGGGGTAAAGAATAGAGAATAGGACGGAAGGAAGGAGGAAAGTGGAAGTGAGGGAGAAGAGAGAAAATAACGATTGAAAGAGAGCGGAGGAAGGGACGAAGTAAAGAGGGTGTGGCGAGGGGGGCGAAAGAGGGGGGGGGGGGTGATGGAGAAAGGGAGAGAGGAAGGAGAAAGAAATTGAAGCAGTAGGAACGAGGGTGCGAAAGGAAGGTGAAAGAGGGGGAGAAAGAGAGTGGAGAGGCGACAGTAAGTATGAATGAATGAGAATAAACAGGAGAAGGGGGTGAAAGACGAGAGAGCGAAATAAAGGTAAAAGAATGAAGAAAGTAAGAAACCAGAAGAACAACACAGACAAAAAAAATAAGAAGGAGAGAATAAGGAGAGAGAAAGAAAGAGACAGGAGTAAAATACAGTGGGATTAAGAAAAAGTGGGAAGGAAGGAGGGGTGAAAAGATCAATAAATAGGGAGACAATGAAGATGAAATGAACGAGGAAGAAGACGAAGAATAGAAGAATAGGAAGGAGAAAGGATGAAAAAAATCATAAACAAATTGAAGAAAAAAATTAACAATCAATAAAAACAAACAAGGAAAGGAAAACAACTGATAACTGCAATGAATAAGGCATAGCTATAAATGCGATGAAAACAGTATAAGATTACATTTAGGCCTTTAAGGGTACAAAGAATAGGCCTACCTTAGAATGAGAGATACGTTATATAAGGGAAGAGTGCTTTCTCATTTTTCGTAGGAAAATGGTCAGATTACATTAAATCTATTGCATTATTTAGTATGTTTCGTACTTCTGTTACATATTTCAAAAGGTGAATGTAATGATTTATTTACCAATTTATATGAAGTTATTAGGAGGGACCTAGCTGATAACATGATAAATGTCTATAAATATGAGAGAGAGAGAGAGAGAGAGAGAGAGAGAGAGAGAGAGAGAGAGAGAGAGAGAGAGAGAGAGAGAGAAAGAAGAGGAGGAGAGAAAGAGAGGGAGAGAGAGAGTGAGAGAGAGAGAGAGAGAGAGAGAGAGAGAGAGAGAGAGAGAAGAGGAGGAGAGAAAGAGAGGGAGAGGGAGAGAGAGAGAGAGAGAGAGAGAGAGGAGAGAGAGAGAGAGAGAGAGAGAGAGAGAGAGAGAGAGAGAATGGACACGAGCAAGTGAAAAGGAAGGGACATGGAGAAAGACGAAACCAGAGGCAGGAAAATAAGATAAATACAACACAGAAAGAACCTAAGATAGAGTAAAACTGAATAAAAAAAGAGAGAAAAAGAAAGGGACGGATGCACAGACACGGGGGAATAGAAAAAGACGAAAATAAACATAGAAAATGTATGAATGAGAATAAATATCTTCACAATACAAGAGTTACTGCATCTGTATTGTGAAGATATTCATTCTCATTTACACCTTTTCTACATTTATCAACATCAATGCTCTACCAACATGAACACAGACAAACCGAGTTACTAACAAACAACAACAACAACAACAACAACAACAACAACAACAACAAAAGACAACGACGACGACAACAACAACGACAACAACAATAAGACGATAAACATAACACTTGAAGACGAGAATATTGACAGCCAGAAACCAGGCAACCCGAATGCACGCTGTCTTTATCTACATTGATTTTCAATGGCTGCCGATTCTCAAATAAATCATCTAATATTTATTTTAATTTCTTGTTTTATGTTATTTACTTACGCGCTTTTGTGTGTGTGTGTGTGTGTGTGTGTGTGTGTGTGTGTGTGTGTGTGTGTGTGTGTGTGTGTGTGTGTGTGTGTGTGTGTGTGTGTGTG